AGCTCAGAGCTTGGGGAAGGCAGGAGAAACCTCTGGAGAAGCCAAAGTCAGACCAAAATTATGAAGTTTCTTGTAGTTCTAATGGGTCCCACTGAGGACCCTCCTCAGGAGCTTGTTAGAGGACAAACCTGGAGGCAGGGATGGCACATCATGGAATCAAACAATCAACAAGGTTGGAAGAGACCTTCAGGATCATCTGGTCCAACTGTAAACCCAGCACAACAATAACCACCCTGTGACATACTCAGGCATGGACCCCATGTGCTATAATGGAATCATTTATTGCAGTTCTTTCACGGTTAATATACCCTGTTACATCAACAGTAAATTCCTGTCAGTAACTTTTCTCCATATCTACTTTTTAGTTAAGCATTCACTGCCCATGAGAAAAATACCCCCAAGCAATTTTCCCCACACAAAGATACATCTCACTACATCTGTATTTATGTTGCCAGGTTCCATTTCTAATTTCCTCCCAAGGTCATATAATCTCAATTCCCTGCATCTCCCCTTTTTTTTTTTTTCTAAGGCACTTCAATTTAAAGATGCAGAGACTTGTACTACCAAGGCTTGATGTGTTGCCTTTTGTATCACAGATTGTACAATCCCAGCCAAGCATGGTGAACAATCATCCCCAATAGGCCCAACACTATCACCAAGCCACACATCAGAATCTTTTTCACTCATGGCCCTAATCCCAAAGTCCAATCCCGTCCTTCAAAGGATTCCCATCTGTCATTCACCATCAGCTTCTTCCTCAGGTCCTGTAACTGTTGAAAGCTCCTGTGAATGGAGGTTGATTTGTCACTCAAATTCAGGCAACACATTCCATCAAATCCTTTGCACCCATGTTCCTGTGCTAAAACCAAACAGTCAACAGCAGCTCTGTTTTGCAAAGTATCAATCTCACTGATTGGTCAATAAATCTGCAATAGCCTGACCAGTAGCATTTGCCTGTTTTGCTAACCAACATCCTAATTCATTTAATGTAGCTAAAGCTTTTGCAGCTGCCTCTGCAGGTGCTGGGAAAGAGGAAGGAATTCTTGTCCCCTGATTCCAAAATGTCATCCCTACACTCGCTAGTGAAGGTGTGTCCATGTCTCCTGTATCCATCAGGGTGTTTTAGGATCATGGCTGTATTAGGAGTGAACAAGGTTAATTTTCCTACTGTACAAGGTCCTCCGATAATTCTTGCTGGTATGGAGAGCCAGGCTCCATCTCCAGAGATGTATCCAGCAGACTGTGGGGGTGGCAATCCCTGTCTCCTTGAAGATCTGTCACCATGAGGCTTCCTCCAAGGAGAGGAGCCCCTGGTATGGTCCTACCCTGAGGTGAAGCCTCCAGGACACAACACAGGACACACCATAAGAAACTTCCAGATGTGACTCACAACACTGTGAAGAGGGAGCAGCAGCACAGGCAGCAGCTGGATGTGTCCAGCCTGGATCTCCCACCTTCTTGAAGAGCTGAGCAAAGAAAAGCAGCCAAACTGCACAGAGAACTGGAGGGGAGAACTGGGGACCTCCTGGGCACCCAATTTCTGCAAGGGCAGCAGTGCCAGGGGAACTCATCATGATGCCATGGAAGGCCTCAATGACCCAGGCAATGGTTTTGCAACCACCAAATGAGGTTGTAAATGCAGGTTACCTGAGAACTTGGAGGGGAAAAGTTATCCCTGAGAACTTGGAGGGGAAAAGTTATCCCTGAGAACTGGGAGGGGAAAAGTTATCCCTGAGAACTGTGAGCTGGTGAGAGGAGTGGGGTGGAGAAAAAGAGGGATCAAGATGGACTGGCAGAAATAAATCTGTGGAGGTGGATTTTAGGGGGATTCCCTAGAACAGCTGCATGTGGCTAAGGGGTGTTTCAGTGCTGCTCTGTCTGAGCTCTGTGCTTGATAACTGCGGTCACTCCTGCCTTCTTCTTAAACTCCCTTCCCGGCTCTTTGCTGTGCCAGTGTGTCACTTGTGTCACTCCTCTGTCCATCTGGGGTCAATGGACACACGTGCTTTGCTGACCAGCTCCAAGTGGGGCTGGCTGGAGGAGGAGGACACCAGGATCTGAGGAATGCAGGGCTGGAGCTGCCACTTTGGCACCAGCTCCAGTTATAGGCAGGGCACCTGGGCACACCCAAACCTCCTGCCCACCCTGCACAGACCCCCTGTGTGTGTTTGTGTGTGTTTGTGTGTGTCTGTGGGTGTTGTATGGGTGTTGTGTGTGAGTGGGTGTTGTGTGTGAGTGGGT